GTAGAAAATTACAGAGTTTAAGCTAAAGATGGAGCATGATCTCTGTACATAGCACATGTGAATACAGGAAAAGCTAATGGTGTATTTTTTTTTTAAATGACCTAGCAGAAAGTAGGATTTAATCCCCAAAATTATTTCACTTTTCCCAATTTTGAGTATGTTTTGATGTTTGTTAATGCTGAAACAACTTCAGAAAGATACTGTTGAATGTAATGCACTGATCAATTTTTGTTGCAGCATTTCCATACCCTCGTGGTGAACTACTAGTCACTACTTCCATGAATATTGTTTACAGAATGAGACTTGGGTTAGTCCTCTTAAATGCTGTAGCAAACTGTGGTTCGAGCAACCTGTGGGAAACCGGTGAGAGGGAGGGGGGAGGGGAAGGAAGCAAGGGAAGTCAGACCGATGACAGATCCTAGACCAGTGTAAAGAATGTGTATCTGTATATAAATAATTTATCAAATACTTTTTGTGTCTACTATATGTGTTTTTAAAGCTGTTCATTTTATTTTACCAACCAAAAAGAAAAGGGAGATAATTAATGAGCTTCTAGTGATGTTCAATATTGCTGTTAATAGGCATTATACACCGCAAGTTCACTGCATGTCTGATGCTTGGTACAATTAGAATGCCCTTTACACTGCAGATTACAGGTATTAAAGCAATTTATTGGTAAACCCGCCCCTTGCCTTAGTAAGAAGAACAGTCAAAATGTATATAGTTGATGTTCAGTATTTCCAAATACTACCATTTTTATATAGTAGTTTCTTTAATCACAAGTCACACATAAGAAGATTACCCTAGTGTACCTGGGTGTTTTAATAATAGAAAATTGGCATATGTACTTTATTTTTGAAAAGGGAAGAGATGGGTGTGGGGTGGCAATAGCATTGTGCCATTTTGTCATGGATTGTAAAAAATTGGTTAACTTTACAAATGTCTCTGCTAGTTTTGACTAACAATTGGGGGAAATTTTAGATAATTTTTAAATTCAAACTTATTTATACAATGCTAGGACTTGTTTTAATTTTTTGTATTTTGAGCCACTTCACATAAAGACTCAGTTGCAGTTTTGTCTGACATTTTTACAACATTTAAAAACTGGTGGTTTTCTCAGAGTTTGGATAAGAATGTTGTTACCGTGTCTTTCTTTGTGGTACAATATTCTTTTCAGTACAAAGAAATTTCAAATAGACAACCCTAGATGTACAATTACATGGAAAATACTTGCAGTGAAAATGCTGTAGTACCAACTATTTCATAGCACCCCTGAAATCTGTAACTCAGAAAGGGGCAGCTGGTGCAGAGCCACCTGTGCTGCAGTGGCCACCTGCTTCATTATATTGTAGGTCCCGTGTGTAGACAGTTTAATCTAGCTCTGAAGTTGTGAATGAAGGCAGACTTTTTGGGAATAGTTCATATTAGGTTAATTGGATACTTTTTGGCCAATACAAAATTCTCAGCCCTGAACATGAAGTACTTCTTTGGAGCTTTTTATTCATAATTTGTATGATTTTATTTGAACAATTAATAGGCATAAAGCGACATCATTATACTTAAGCTATGAATGTTTTTATTTTATATTTTATTTATAACTGTGCCAAGTATTATTTTGCTACTTACTGTGTTACTCTGTGGAAAGAAAAACCTGTAAAGTGTTTAATAAATTAGTTCTCCTTACATAAATTAAATGTCAAAATTTTGTAAAATATTAATCTGAATAAATATTCACTCTTAAGTGTGTGCTGGTTTATAATTTCACAAAGTTCACTTAAATTGATGAAGCCGTGGTACTTATAGTGTGAAATGATTATTCAGTATACTTATATTCTGGTCAAGAAGGACTCAAGAGGCAAAAAATTGCAGAAATTTGCAAAAGTAAAAGGTGATGTTAGTATTATACAAATTTCCAGGGTTTTTTTTGTATGTCTGTATGTGTGTATTTGCCCAGCCTTTTTCTGTTTTGTTGAGACAGAGTGTCACTATACAATCCTATTCAATCTGTTCTTAAACTCACTAGCCCAGGCTGTCCTCAAATTAAGTGATCTCCTACAGCTGCTTCAGTGCTGGGATTACAGGCAAGAGGCAGGCACCACACTTGTTCTCTGTGTATGTATTTTTAATAAATTGTTATCCTATAGAATTGATTATTACAAAATGAAACCTACTAAACATTGATCTCAGTTGATGTGTGTAGGAGAGAAACCTTTGGAAGTTTAAAAATAATTATGAAGGGGCCCTTTCCTGTTGTTCATATGGTGGTTTATAGTTCTAGGAGTTCATAGACAGAAACAGATAATCCATGTCAGAACATGGTTGTTAGAAAGTGTATCTTCAGTTTCTTACAGTGCTTTTTACAACATTTTGTTATAAAATGTATTTGTGTGACTTTCAAAATAGAAAATCTGTAATTCTAAGTCGAACATTTAGAATATCCCTTTAGGGTATGTAAATCACAAACTCAAGGAAACCAAATGTAGCTTTTACAAAACTTTTTTTTGAATTGGACATAAATGTTTTGTTCAAATAAATTTTGTTAGAATATCCGTCATGAGACATTTACTATAATTCCACCTCCCCCTAGTGATTGAACTATATCACACTGTAGCTGCAGTCTTTATTTTGAGGAAGGGTGTTGCTAATTTATCACCCAGGTTGGGTGCAGATTTGGAACCCTTCCGCCTCCACTTTCCAGAGTGCTGGGATTGCAAGTGTGTGCCACCATGCCCAGATGATGTATTTTTTTAAACAAAGCATTTTATTCTTTTAATTTATTTGGTACAGGGTCTCATTACACAGCTTGGACTGGTAGTGGACTGGGATTACAGGTATGAGCCGCCATGTAGATTTGGTAGCCAGCACAGTGGCATGGCATGCAGTACTGGGCATTGAACCTGGGTCTTTGAACTTCCCGGGCAGGCGCTTAGACTGCTGAGCTAGCCCTGGCCCAGATGATATATTTTCCTTTATTTCTTTTTTTGCTGGACTGGGGATTGAATTCGGGACTTGCCAGGCAAGTGCTTATTCTACTGAGCTATCTCCCCAGCCCAATGATGTATTTTTAATAGCAGTGGTTTTGATATTCTGAAGCGCACTTCCATTTAGCATATCAGTCAAGTTCTTTTTTGCTGCTACTTGACTTTGTAGGTTTAATTTTCACCAAATCTGGAAAATTGCTAGTCATCATTTTTTGAAGTATTTTCCCCCCTTTTAAGAAACCTCAATTGCACATACGTTGGGTCACTTGATAAAATCTTACACTCTACTGGCCTTTGTTTTTTAATTATTTTAGGATTTTTTTTTCCAGTTTCTGTGTTAATGTTTCTTTCATCAAGTGTGTCTAGTCTTTAACACAATAAAGTGTTTTGTTACACTGTAGCTGTCACCTATTGGGTTTAATGTGAACCTTTGTGTATTTTTTTAATCTAGTTTTTCTTTTATTTGTTTGATACAGGGTCTTGCTACGCAGTTCAGACTTGTAGTGATCCTCCTGTCTCAGCCTCCTCAGCACTGAGATTGCAGTCACGTGCCACTACACCCAGTTTTGGGGGTCAGCATGGTGTGTCTGGGGCTCTGGGGCCACATAGCATGCGGTACTGAAGATTGAACTCGGGTCCTTGTACTTGCCAAGCAGGTGCTTATGCCGCCGAGCTATCTCCCCAGCCCTAATCTTTTTTGAAAAACACATATAGTAAATATGATTTTTAATATGCCTGCCAGTTTTTACATCTGAGCAAATTATGGATTGGTTTTGATAGATTCCCCGCCCCCCATACAGAGGTGTGAACCCAGGGAGTGCTGAGCTATACCACAGCCTTTAGGTATTTAACAGCACCCACCAAGTTGCCCAGGCTTGCTTGACTATCCTGCTGCCCCAGCCTCCTGGATACTTGGACTACATGCATGTATCTCTAATGCTTAGCTATCTGGTAGTTTTGGAGGATTCCAAAGCCTATGAATTGGTGGGTACTTTTATACTCCTATAAAAATGTTTGAGCTTTATTCTGGGATTGGAGGTTATATGGAGATTTGGATCCCTCTAGATCTTGCTTTAAAATCTAGTGGGAAACAAGACCAGAGCAGTGCTCAATTTATGACCCATTACTGCCCATTCCTGAGGTATCTACACCCCGTATGTACAGCCAAAGCTCTGGCACCCATGCTTCCTAGTCTTGGTGGTGTGAACAAAGCTTCTTGCTATGAAAAGTAGTGAGTTTCTTCCCCCTGGAATTAGGCAGTTCTGTAACATGCATGTTTGGTCAGAACTCTGCTCAAGGCTTGTCAGGTAAGAATATGTCCTCCTCTAGCCACAGGCTTCTCTGCTCAACTCTCAGGTTTTGTGAAACCACCATGCCCCCACCCGAGTCCTATCTCAGCTGGGGATGGCTGCAGCTCTGTTCTTCCTTGCACTACAACTCCAAATCTTAAAAACAGTAGGCTTTGGTAATTTGTAAGATTGTATTTTGTCCCATAACTGTCTTTTTTGCTGAATGTCCAGCATCCTGAAATGATTTTCACTGATTTGCCTTGGTTTTAGTGTTATTTCATCATAGCTATGAGGAAGTCAGAATTAAAGTTACAGTTTAGATTTCTAATGTGGAAGATAATCAGTAGCTCTTTGGACTTCAAAAACTGGTATTTTCAGAGGTGACTTTCCATGGACAGCTAAATCAGTGTTAGTAGTTCGAGGCCTTCAGTATGCTAGTGTGTATTGTTAATCTACAGGAATGTATGTAATCATGGCTTTCTAGGAAATGTCAAGGAATATGTGGACATGAGTAGCTTCTCTTTCAGTTCAGTCTTTCATTGCAAGTTAACTGTTTCCCAGCCTGCTTAACGAAAAGGCTCTCACCCAACGGAATTGATAAGCTTTATAAATCTGAAGTTGCTTCTCAGGAAACCCTCTGTCAACTTTCTCCCCTTAAGTCATACACATCCCTTCTAGCCTTTCAGAAGCAGTAGTATAGTATCTAAAGTGGACTCTGGAGGAAATCATGCCACATCCATGGTCAGGCTGGTTTAATTCCTGTTAACATACAGTACAGACCACTTGCAGGGTGTGGGAGGGGTGGAGTGTGTAATGAAAATAGTCCTTGTTCATGTAATGATGCCCCTTTTCTGCCTGAGGCAGCTGAATGGACCCATACAACACAATATTCTTTGCCACTTAGAGTTGTAATATGAAAAAAAGCGCTTCAGCTTCCAGGATTTGAGTCAACATCTGATTAGACAGGAGTTTCTAAAAAGCATCGTGATAAACCTCAGATTCTAGTTGTCTGTGGTGATCTGTAAGAAAAGATAAATCCAAAGAATCTGTTTTCTGAGGTAGTTGGTTTTTCTGAGGGATATATTGAAAGGGCTTTTAATGGCCCAACCTGGCTCTAGAGGTTTGAAGAGGAGCTTGTAAATCTGTTTTGGAGTAATCTCAGATGTCTAATGCACACTTCAGAAACTGTTCCAACTGAGAAGAGTTAACCAGCAGGCTGGAAGGACAGGGATGATTACAGCGGAATGCCAGCTCTGAAGTGCGGAAAGGTGATGCCTGGCGCCCGTGGCACCAGTTTAAAAGAGATATTCTTGTGGGCACCTGTATGTGAACATCAGCCCAGAGCATAATTGGGCAGAAGGGTTGATTGTCTTTAACAATGCAAATGAGGGTAAGGAGAGCGCAGTGATTTCTCACTAACTGAAATCATAGCAGTTATCCCAAAAGGTTAATTAAAACATTAAAAAAACAAACCAAAATTTTATTTAAAATGTAAAAGAAATGGTTCTTGAAAATTCTTTTGAATAAAGAGAAAAGATATAATGCTCTCATACAAATTATCCAGCAGAACCAAGTACAGGGTCACGTACAGTACTTAATGCTTGCAGAGTTTCACAGTAGTTTAGTGTTAAGACTGTGTCTATGTCATGAAAAGATTCTCAGTGTGATGTGAGTTTCGAGTTGCACCTTTACTGAGCATGGACAAGGGCTCCTGCTCCCTGGCCATAGCCAAATCCCTTGGGCCCAAAGTTCTTTGCATAACATCCTACAAAAGAAAAAGTAGTACAAGTCAATTAAGTTTCACTAGCATTAAGAGAAACCCCATAAATTAAAAATTGGCAAGTACAAACATTGTGGTTCCCTAGCAGTCCACTCCTGGTCCTGCTGAGTTAGATACGAAAGGCCAACTTACTTACATATTTGGTATTACCCTCGTATAGTCGTGTGCTTTGCTAATACCCTGACATTGAAAGAAGACTAATCTGTGTGATGTTTTTATTTGTGGGAATGTTTTTTTAAGAGATTGATTTATTTGGTACAGGGTCTCACTCATAGCCCAAACTCATAGTGAGCCTACTGCCTCAGCCTCCCCAGGGCTGGGATTACAGGTGTGCGCCACCACGCCTGGTTTCAGTGGGTGTCATGGTGCAGGGCTGGCATGGCATGTGATACCAGGGATTGAACTCAGGTCCTTGCCAAGCAGGCACGTAGACCACCAAGCTGTCTTCCTGAATGTTTTAAATGAACAGAAAAAAACTGGTTCTGTCATCTTTGAGCATCTCTGGATCTTGTATGTTCAAGTAGCTGGTGACACACTGTATCCTTTTCTGTTTTCTGAGTACATTTTTGTTTTGTTTTACATTGATGCATTGAGTAGTGGCAGTGTGAGACACGGGTAGCAGTAACAAACTAATGTTACCTTTACAATAGATTTCACCCTCTTTCTCTGTCAGAGTTGTTGATTCCAGACTCTTCCCACACTTGGCACATCGGAAACAGTTTTTGTGCCAGGGCTAGGAGAGAAATGTGTGTTAGCACATTTTGAGAGGACAGTTTCCTTAGCGGTGGCAAAGGGGTTCAGGATGACCAACCCCATGGCAAGCTCCTGCTGTACTTCAGCTCCACAAGAAGGCTGCAGCTTGCCCACAGAAGGGCTAAACTTCACAGGAGAGCTGGGCTGGTAGCTGAAACGCAGAAGGGCTATTTACCTAAGAGCAGTGTCAGGCCTTGGCCGAGAAACTAGTCTGCCCCTCACTGAGAGGCTGCTCAAGGAGGCGATGTAATTTTTCCAGATGCACATTTAGCATCCAGTGTGGTGAGCCTGGGAACACTGAGTAAAACTTGCATATTCCAGGTTTTTAAAGTCTGGCCCTTGCAGTAACATTTAAGGGCAACTTCCATGAAAACAAACTTCTTACAAAAATGAGATTTATGTATAAGATGATTCTGATGAAAATTGGGTTTAAAACAATTCAGGTTTATTTATTTTTATGTATTTGGTGCAGGGTCTCACTATGTCGCTCAGACTTGTAGTGATCCTCCTGTTTTTGGCCTCCCCAGTGCTGGGAGTACGAGTGTGTGCCACCATGCCCGGACTTGGTCACTGGCTCAGTGAGCATGGGGCTGGGGGTGGGCCCAGCGGAGCATGCAGGACCAGGGAATCAAACCCCGATCCCTGCACCTGCCAAAGCAGGCACTTAGTCTGCTATCTTGCCAGCCCAGAAAAGTTCTTCAGTGGTGAAGAGGACATACAGAGCAGAGTAAAAACTGAAATAGCCATTCACTATTACTAATTTCAAGTAGTACTTCACCTTTCCAGCTCCAATGATCTTCTCAGCAGCATATACAGAATCCCCACATCTGGAACACTTCTCAGCACCTCCAAATTTCTGAGCAAATTTGGAAGTGTTTGGACTTGTCGTAGGCCTGTGAGGTTGAACGCTTGTGGAAAGGGAAAGAAGACGTGAAGCAGGATTTCCTAAGGCAGGGCAATGAACTTTGGTTAACTGCTAGCTTGTCTCCAAACCAGGCAGGAGGAAAGAAATTAATCTCAAGTGCTGGCCGTGATTGCTACAAAAAGCCAGGCACACCCTCACAGTGAGTACCTGTGAATCTAAACACAACTCATGTAGTCTCCCGGGCTAGCCTCTCAACTGTAATTATATTTTGTACCCCAAATTCACAGTAATGCCACTGGAATCTTACCTAGCTTTGTACTTAATAGACTGAAAAAAATCAGTGTTAATCCTGCACATAGGTCAGTCTATAAAACTAAGAAAGTCAGGTTTTACAGAAACTAGTTTCCCAGTACAATTGAATAGGGCAAAATGTAAATAAACTACTTTGTTCATCACAAGTATCAATTTCCCTGTTGTGTGTTTAATTTTTTCTCCAGGTAGAATGGTATTCATGTTACTGTTTACAGGTCACCAGCGTAACTCATGGTGGGCAGGGAGGGATTCTTTGCCATTCAGTGACTAGGTATATGTCACATGTCCAGAGCATTCATTGGGCTTTGAGACTTTTCTAGAACCTCCGAGGGGAAGCAGACAAGGCGTAATAACACCGAACAAGTAGCCAAGTGCCAGTATTTCCTACTAGAAAAACAATGCTTGCTTTTTGAAATTTTATTTAGTCATATATATATATATATATATATATATATATATCAAGGCAAATAAAATTTTAACTTAGAGATACCACCTTTTTATAAAAATAATTTATTCAAACACTTGTATCTTTACCTCCAGTATACCCATTTTTTTGATATTAACAGTCTTCTACATATTCACTGAAGTTGTTTAATACAGTATGCTTTGATTTGTGTGGCCACTGTAAATATTTTAAGCACAAAGCTAATTCAAAGTATTTACAGTTTCTCCAGGTGTCCCTAATGTGGGCATATTTTAAAAACATCTTAACCTACTGATAACAATCTCCAGCACTTGCAGTTATGAATCCGAGGAATTTCCAGATCTGCCAGTATCAAGAACTTCACACAGATTATCTTCCACGTATCTTTAACAGCTTCACAGGGAATGGACAGCAACTGTTACCTTATCTTACAGATAAAGAAATGGGGACTCGGACATTAAATTATTTGCTGAATTAGGAAATGGGGCCAGAACTGGAAATGCAGGTCTGCAGCCAGCGAAGCGTCCTCCACCTGAGTGCTGCTGGAGGCGGTTGTGCCTCCGTGAATATTAATCACTGCAAGGTGTTCATTCAGAATTCCTGAGCCTCCTGGGAAAGGAAGTTGTCCTACCCCCAGTCCTGAAAGGTGACAGAGTGTGGCCAGAGGAAAAAGGAACAGGCAGCGCTGCCCATGGACACAGGCCAGCACAGAGGGTCTGTCAATTACTGGAGAAGGCAGAAGGTGGGAGACAGAGGGAGGTTCCACAGGACTTTGTGACTCTGAATTATGATCACAACGACTGACTTCAAACTTTTGGGGTCAGGAGTGAATTCAGCTCTAGTTAAAGGGATGGTGAACAGCTATGTAATGAAACCTTTCCAAATTGGAAAAGAACAAAAAAGTACAATAAATATTAACAGGCTAGCTTTCTGCAAGTGACAGTATGTGGCAATGAGTGAGAGACGAGGCCTGTTAACTGTAAAGCATTCTGACAGAGAAGGTGGGGAGGCCTAAAGTCACACACTACAGAAGAACAAAGGCTTGGGACCAAACACTGATTTGAACTTTGGCTCCTGTGTGACCTGCCCCTTCATGCCCTCCTCTGTAAAAGAGGCACAGATTAGCTACACCCCACAAGTGCACTGTGAGGGTTATACAGAAGGAGACAAACTGAGCAGAAAGCAAGCTGCTCGCTAACATTTTGCCCAAGCCAGGATGCAGTGTCCGAGAGCTCTACAAGCAACAGTGTGACTGTAAGAAAATTACTTTTGAAGGGTGAGGGGGGTTAGGAATTGAACCAGTGAACCCTCGGCTTCCACAATGAACCACATTCCTAGCCCTGTATCTTTTGAGTCAGCAACTCACTAAACCCAGGACAGGTTCAAGGTTGGGAGCTTGCTGTATGAACTACCACCTCAGCTTCACCTTATCCTGCAGTACACAGGAAATACTACCATGTAGGCCTGCTGCTATGATTAAAGGAGTTAACATGTTATTTCTGGCATGATTAGAGCCTCCTCTTTTACTGGAATACTGTAATGCTTTGGCTTCTTTAATATAAAGTGGAGGTATGAGGGCTGGTGAGATAGCTCAGCAGACTAAGTGCCTGCCTAGCCAAGTGCAGGGACCAGGGTTCCATCCCGGTACAACATGCTGCCCTGGCCCTGCCCTCAGGTGTGACATGGTGTGGTACGGGCCTGTAATCCAAGCCAGCGCTGGGGAGGCTGAAAACAGGAGGATCACACAAGCCTGAGCTGCCTAGTGAGACCCTGTACCACATACATTAAAAAAAAGAATGGATATATAAAATGATTAGTTCAAATGACAATAGTAATTAATAAATTCCACATGAAATTATTTAGCCTGAATATGAAATACTAAGTGGATCTTAATAAAGTTAGTATCCTGACTGTTTCATACTGAAGTCAGCCACATTTGCCATGAAGGAATCAAAACAGGAAGTAATTTCAATTTTGAGTTACAGAAAAGTAATTTCTTAATGAAAGACACTGATGGAGGAATTTCTTCTGATGTCTTAGTTGCACATAAGAAATGTGTCTTGAGTAGTTATATATCGTATTTCCTTTATCACTTAATTTTATGGTATCTAGTCTCCAAAGTGCTGACAGAAGTAAATGCTTGCTTTGGAACATATCACGACTCCTTGATACTATTTTTTTTTTTTTTTTGAGACAGCCATATAGTTCAGGCTGGTCAAACTGACTATGGAGCCCAGACTGGCCTCAAACTTGTGGCAATCCTCCTGCCTCAGCCTCCCAAGAGCTGGGGTTACAAGTCCTTGATACTTCTTAGAATGCTATAAAACCATATGTAGAATAGTGAGGACTTTCCAAACTGTCAGTTATGTTTTTGTTTTTTCTTAACTTAACCTAAAAATCTGGAAATTCCTGGGTTCCTGTCCACCACGCAACATTAACTGTTGTAGTTCGTATCTGAAGGTAACAAACATTCTCCTCTTACCTCTCAGGCTTGATGCCCAGCCGCTCGCCACGGTCCATGTTGAGAGTGCCAGCGCCCTGGCCGTATCCATAGCCTTTTGGCCCATACTTCTTCCCATAGCAGGATTTGCAGTAGATCTCTTCATCATGAATTGCCACTGTTGTGCTGTCTAAATTTTTCCTGCAAACCACTGAGGGGGAAAGGTTACGTTTTCTACATTCCACCAATACACTTTTCTTAGTATAGCAGAGTCTAGAAATGGTAAAAGCACAGGCTCTCTCATTTGTAGTTTATCTTACGATTTGTCAAACCTCTGAGGGCATTGAGATCAGTTAGCTACATCTGGAAATTAACCTTCCTCCGTGACATAATGATAAGTTACTTCAGAAAAGTACCCAATTCCTGTGATGAATGTTATTGCTATCTATCTAAAATGTACCATAAAATAAAGATGGTTTTTAAAAAATCAGAATTTTTAACACCTCAAATGTCTTAATTTTTCCAACTGGTCTACCTCTGTGGCAGGAAGGAGTTTCTGATATGGCATGAACAAAAAGAACTAACAGTGCCCTACTCTTAAACCCTTGTCTCAACCTTCAGCACTTGATCTTGTCACCTTTTCATACCAAATACTGTCACATCACACTCTGACAAAGAATAAAACAATAGTGTTTCTGTGGGAGAGTGCCTCTGTAGCCCTTTCACCCCACAAAGCACCTATGGGATAAAAAAAAATTAAGTCCAGCACTGTAGCACTCATCAGTAGTCTAGGATGGGGGGAGCACTGTTTTTTCATCTGCCCCACCAGCCTCTCCAGCAGTGATAAGTATGTCTGAAAATCCTCAAGTGGGTTAAAGCCAGCATTTGTTTTCCCCGCCCTCGCGGAGGGGAATGCATTCCTCCTTGCGGGATTTCTTGCCACAAGGCATTTCCATGTATCCTACTTCATAAGACTGCCAAATGTTACCATGCTTTATCCAGACATTATTTCACTTTCTAAAACTTCAATTAAACTTGAAAAAAAAGTCAGCTGTGAAAGAACTCATTGGAGCATAATGGGGCAGCTGGAAATCAAAGATACATTCAGGGAATTGTACTCATTTAAAATGGAGGGAAGGAAGAAAAAAGAAAAAGCAGATAACTAGCTAGCTAGTTTGTAAAAAGATGAACTATATTTATGTTCCTATTATTTTAGACTAAAACAACATCTACTCTGGAACCTCACCACTGAGGTTCAAGTACTAAAACATTTGCTTACAGTTACCCTAAAACCATAAACTACTAAAGAACTAATACCCTTAACAGTATGAATATAGACAAAAATTTTAAAAACATGTATTACCCAAGGCCAGTTGTATCACGTTTTACCCTCTGGTCACCGTTCCTTTCCTTACTCCTATTTTCTACAGTAAATTCTCAAAGATGTGGAACTACACTAAGTTGTTAGAAGGCTTTAGTCAGAGGAGACAATTAGAAAGGGATAGTTAGAAATTATCACTAAGAACTTGACGCTTAGTAAAAATTAGCTATGTGGTAGTGTAGACATAGCCTGGCCTAGATGGAACTGAACAGTCTGTAAATACAGGAATTTTTATTTCCATACTGTTGTTTGAAAGCGTGCTGAAAAATAGATTCAAAAAATCTAAAATCACTAACTTCTGGGCCTGCCAGATAGTTCAGTGGACTAAAGCACCTGCTTAGGCAGACTCAGGGGCCGGGAGCTCAGTCCCTGGCTGCTATGCCAGCTCCACCCCCAGAGCGCGCTGAAATGGCAATTGAAACTGGGCATGTTGGCACGCGCCTGTAATCCCAGCGCCTGGGAGGCTGAAAACAGGAGGATCCGTTATGAGTCTGGTCTATACAGTGAGATCTTATAAATCACTGACTTCTGAAAGAAATGGCTAAAATCTTACAGGAAATAGTAGCTATCATGGTGTATATGGCAAACATTCATATGTATTTTACTTTTCATAAATGCAACTTTCTGTTGTTGGTTTCTAGTTATGTGTGAAGCAGTCACACTATAAAGAGGTCCAGACACCTTGATTGTTGTCTCCTACCAAAATACGAAAATTCAAATTTCAAAGAAGTTTTTTTTTTGGTGAGGATTATGTAGGTAAGTTTATTTTTTAACATACCACTTTTTATAATAAACTTGTATTTCCCAACACTACAGATAAGGTAATTATCTGGGTTGCTTTACAGGTAATAGATCATTCATTAAAGAAAACTGTATCATTTAAGTCAGAAGATAATTAACAAGCTTTTTGAGCTTTCTTCCCTAAACTGCCAAGCTTTTAAAACTGCAGAATGAGTCATTAGAGGAGACTTGGGAAGGAAGGGCTTCTCCTGCTTCCTGGTATCTACTGGCTAAGGGACAGCAGGCCTGTGGTGTTCTGTGTCCTACTTCCTGTAGGCAGCGGAGGTCTAGCAGCAGTAGTAACTCCCGATGTGCCCGTACGGCCCTGCATATCCTATGCTGCTTCCCCTCAAACTTAGAATGCCAATAACCACAAGTAACTCCGGATATTCATCAGCATAGAAAACGATCTGAACGAATGCAGAAATTGTTGGCATCTGATTTTCAACTATGAGAATGATGTAGATTAAGCAAGATGGTTTCGAAGAGAAGGAGCCCTGCTTGAAAGGGAAAACTGGGTGGAGGAAGGGCAAGTCCCTTTTTACAGAAAAGAGTGTGCTGGTGCCAGGCTTCCCACATGACACGAAGCTCTCAGAGAGGAGAGCGCAGCAGTGGCCGTGTCTTGGGCCACTGCTGTCCTTCCTGCTAGCCTGAGCACTTACAAGTCTAAGACAACAGATAGGTCAAACACCTGTACTTAGGTAATCTTTAGTAGCAAAACTCCTGTTTTTTCCGTTAAAAGGCAAACAGATGCATTTCACGCAGGGTGATACTTACTGCACAGAAAGCAGCAGCGGTGGAAGCTCCTGCCATCACATTGCACCTCCTCGGCGTGGTACACGGTTCTGGCGCAGGCCCCGCACTTGTTTCCCCCTCCCCAGACTGGCATTCTGGAAGAATAAAGGATCCATCAGAATGGCCCCGTGCTTGTGCAGCAAGCTCCCTAGAGAGCTGTTCAAACCCAGGAGACAGCTGCAGATCTTGTTTCTTTAAAAACCACTCAGACCACATCTTTGGAAGCCCTGCATTCCTCCAAAATAACCTCAGCTCTTCTCCCAAATTATAGCTCTTTCATTAGGAAACTCTGGCTCGGCTCATCATTCAAAGGATTTTTTCCCCTGCAAAACAAAGGAGTTGCTTTCAATGGAACATTACAGGTCACCAGGCATAAATCAAAGTATGCCACCAGAATCCACAGGAGATAGCTGCATGGGGAACGGAAAGGCGAACGCTGCCCCTCCCTTACATTGCAGTCTTTAATGAACTTCGTTTTGTTTGTTTTTTTTTTTAAACTCGGCTAAAGATCTCACTCTTCTTGCATGGAAATTTCTACTATGTCCTTATTTTACTGTAACAACACTGAATTCTTACCATTTAACCTACATAAGCTCTGACACTTTCTAGGGAGGAAGAAAGTACAGGAACAAGCCTTGTATTTGCTAAAGTTCTGCCGATCCACAGCAGAAACAGTCACGTGTGACGAGGGCAGCTGCATGCAGGCGTCCTGCAGTCACCACCACACAGCCACGCAGGTGGCCGTGCCGAGCTTTCTGTGCTTCACTGCCCCGGGTCCACAAGTGCAACCCGAAAAGACGCGAGGCCTAAGCCTTCCCAGCAACATGAACGGTCTGTAGAAGTACATTACAGCAACCTCTAGACAACACGGCCTAGGACGGGTTGAGCAGAACGTTTACATCCTGGGCTATCTTAATATTCTAGGCCAGAGTCTTAAATGCCTGGCTCTGAGGGGCCACTGTCCTCAGCTGCCCTTTGCAGTGCAGGCAGCCTGCCTTAAGGAGACAGGTTATACCTGCCCTGGCTGGTATCTAAAAACACTGTGAATGAATTTTTTTTTTTTCCTGATCATCTTGTTCAAACATCCTTTTTGTAAGCAGTATTTACAGCCCTTGCATGTTAAATTCCTTTGGATGAGCTATTTGCCTCTCTTAAGAAATAGCTGAAGAAAAGTGAGACTTTTCTACTAATGCTAAGCCTGGCCAGAAAAGAAGGAAAAGGGACACCCTCTAAGTGGAAAAGACTAAAGAAATCTTTGATTTTTAATATAAAAAGAGTGAATTTCCATCTTATCCCATTAAAATAGTCCAGAATCCAACAACTTCCTGAACACGGACACTTTCCGAAAGAAAAAATTATAAAATTAAGCACTGTGCTGGGCATCTTGCCCTGCTGGTAATACTTTCCCCAGATAACCCTCTCCTTAGTCTATGTGGTCTGGACATGCTGATTAAAATATGGTCTCCTTGTGATGGCCCACCTCACTTGTTACCACGTCAAGCCAACATTCAGGTGAACATTTAGAAATCGTCTATGGCTGGACTATGATTTGTCTTTACAAGAATATGGAACCTTAATTCCTCAGCATAGCAGTGTTAGTAGTTGAGGCCTTGTATAAGGTTTCTGGCTTAGGAAACCTCCACCATCTTGAAGGGACTAATGTAGTACATGCAAGAATGAGTTACTGGGCCAGTGAGATGGCTCAGTGAGTGGCTTAAAGTGCCTGCTTAGGCAAGCGCACAGGGACCACAGTTCAATACCGAGCAACACATGCCACACTGGCCCCACCCCCAGGATGGGCTGAGCCCGCCACACACACACAAAAGAATGGGTTAGTTATCTCAACAGATAGCTATGGAATTCAGCCCCACTTAGCCTTTCCTCTTTTTGGTCATACCTGTTTACCTGTCTAATTTTCCACCATGCATGGAGCAGCACATGGCCCTCACCAGAAGCCAGGCGGATGTTGGTGCCTAATGTTGAACTTCCAGCTTCCACAAATGTTAGGCAGTACAAAACTTTTTTTCTTTATAAATTAACCTAGTCTCAGATATTGTTATAGCAAAAGAAATGTACCAAGACAAAACTTACAATAATTTTGTTCCACAACAAATAAGAGCATGATCAGCAGACTATACACCTTATGGAACAGAGAATCAGTGAGTTAGTCTGTATTTAGAAACTTGTTTTTGAAATTCTGTTTTGTCAAAACTTGCTCCTAGTGTATGAGAACCAACCACCAAAGTTAGAGGGAGGCCAAAAGACAAGAGGCAGACAGGTCCAGGACTACGCAAAGTGTACTACAGGTACAATTAAGGAATTTTCCCCCCAATTATGGACAGAGCATGTCTTTGGTGACAGCAGAAAAAAAATAACAAGAAAAGAAAAAGGATCCCTATGGCCCAAGCAGGAAGGAAACAATGTGCTAAGGTAGGTAAACGTGGGTAGGAGGCAACCAGCCTATTTCTTGACGACTATCAGCATGTCCGATGCTAAGAAATGGTCCAGCCATCGGTGGGCAATCCAGCTGACTTTTTTTTTTTTTTTTTTCGGAACCAGGATTGAACTCAGGCCCTTGTGCTTGCCAGGGAAGCACTTATTCCACTGAGCCATCTCCTTGCCCCCCCCCCCCCCCGCTGACTGTCTTAATGACTTTTTTCTCAACAGGAATTTATTTATATTATTACTATTATTATTATGCATTTAGTACAGGGTCTACAGGGTCGCACTACACAGATTGGACTCGCAGCGATCCTCCTGTTTTCAGCCTCCCAAGCTCTGGGATTACAGGTGCGGGGGCCACCACGCACAGTCTCAGTCGCTGCCTCAGCGCGCCCCAGGGAGGGGCCGGCACCGCAGGCTGGGTGATTGAACCCCGGCCCTTGCGTCTGCCTAAGCAGGTGCTTTAGTCCGCTGAGCTATCTGGCCGGCTCTACAACAGGAATTTAGAAGATCACAAAATGAAAGTTACAACCAACATGGCTTTGTCAGATCAAACCAAATTTCTACATATTCCTTCACCACAAATGTGTAAAAAGCACTATTTAGATGGTATTAATTCTACCCCTCTCCTCGCCTGTTTTGTACAGCTAAAACAGGATACTAGAGACTGAATAAGATGTAGAAATTTCACATGTTTGGAGGCTGAGAGGTTCAAGATGAAGACTCAGGCAGATCTGCTGTCCAAGACAGTGCCTTGGATGCGGCCACCTCCAGAGAGAAGGCACACCGCCCTCTTGTGGCAGGAGAGAAGAGCAAACCCACCCAGGCCTGCCTGTAGTGCCTAGTCAATCCACTCCTTTCTAAATCCCCCATCAGGCCTGCCTCTCAACGCCACCGCCCTGGGATTAAATTTCCACATGAGCTCTTTTTGAGGAGACAAAAACATTCAAATCAAAGCAATCCTAGCTTCAGGACTGGGCATGAGACTCCGTCGGGGCCAGGCTGACCACGGTGTCCCTCTTCTCGCCACGGTTGTTGGCTTAGGTGTTGGCACAGAGCCCACTCCAATGCATGTTAAGCTCGGGGCTCCGATGCAGAACGGTGGGTGCAGCGGCTAGGGTCAGGCCAGCTCCTGCTGAGGACAGCAATAGCGATGCTTGGAGACGCTCGGGTCCTCTAAGCCCAATTCCACTGGGCTTCATCTTTCCAGCACTGTTTAGTTATGTGAGCCAATAAATTCCCTTTTTGAGCCATTTGGAAATCAGAGCTCCTGCTCCTTGAAACAAACACATTAACACACAAGCCCACACGCATATGGAGAGCTCAGCACTACGGCTAGCTATCACGGAGCTGCTGGTATCGACTTGCAGATAGCCTGCTCCTCTTAATTGAAAAGATCTACACATGTTAACAGTGTTACTGTGATCTGCCAAGGATCAGTATCTTGCAACAACAGGGCACATTTGTAAGCTTTCCTTTTAGAGTTACATGAAGCTTTTATTCCCCTTTTAGTCCCAGAGATGCATGCTCTACTGCTTCAGGCTAGAATACACCACGAACCCAGAGACACCAAGGTTGGCTCCAGCAGGCGGTGCTGACTGAGTTAGGAGCACAGCGAGTGAAGGAGTGACGCTGACTGCGCCTCCCCTGCACCACTACCTGGCTTTGGAATGCCCATGGATGCGACAGAGGCCTCCTTCCTCCAGATCCTGAGGAAACCAAAGGCGGAGAGCCGCAGTCTCTGGAAAACGACACTCCCGGCGCTCATACTGTGTCCCAGCACGACCTGGCTCTAAGCTGCTTTGCTGCTGCTGAGGCATTTCTGTCAAGAAGTTTCTCCTTGTATTAGAAAGGCAACTATTTAATGGCAACCTGGTGTCTTTCATTTGCACACATACTTACTTTGGAGTGATCCCTGATAAGGAGCAAGATTTCTATCAGGACTAAGGTAACATCTGCAAATACATTTTTAAAAACTTAATTACTTGGTAATTCTCTTCCTTGCCAGTGAAGACCAGCTTAGATTGTTTAAAAAAAAAAAAGCAATATAATTTTTCCCTTTTTAATGTAAATCAGGGTTACTTTAAATTCACCAGTTATGAGGATGGTCTAATTAGTACTATACATGCTACACAAACCATTTTTTGAAAACTGAAAGCCAGTTTAATTTATGAATATAGCTCTAAAGTCGTTTTTCTGACTTTATAGCTATATTCATAAATATAGGTCCACAAAAGCTTCTGCCCACCAAGGGTCAGGTCATTTCTGTCTTCCCTGTACTATCTCCTACATTATTTGGTTTATATCAAACCACTGTAAATTCCATCCAGCTTAGGGGAGTGCCTAAGTGTTTCTGCATAACCTCTCCTATGACACAGGCAAATAATTGAATAACACATCTTAGAAAGTTTTAGAAAGTTTCAGGTGGGTTAATGCTTTCTTTTAAAAAAATTTTTTTTTTTATTTATTTGATACAGGGTCTCACTATACACTCATAGTAATCCTCCTGTCTCAGCCTCCCCAGTGCTGGGATTACAGGTGTGTACCACCACACCCAGTTTCAGTGTCCAGCATGGTGCACCCATGGTTCCAGGGCTGCATATCGTATTGGGCATCGAACTTGGGTCCTTGTGCTTGCCAGGCAGGCACTTAG